ACAAATTGTTGGATGAATAAAAACTGACCTCAAAAATAAAGGAGGATTTCTAAGAAAAATAACAGAATTTGAAATTCTCATATAGAATCAAGACCACCTATATATATAGAAATTGTTACTTGGATATTACACAGACAGAATAAAAATTATTACTTAGATATTACACAGACAGAACAAATTAAAAAATTGTATGATAAAATGGATGCAAAACTTCCAGAAAAAAAGAGTACAACAATGAGAAGAACTATGGAGCAAATCTATAATATTTACTCCAAGTTAAAATTTAAGAGAAAACTCATATAAAATGCTTTATAGATGATATACAATTCTGTCAATAATTAACAACATAGAAAAATCATATAGGAATAAATGCTGGAAGAGAATATTTTATCATATGGGGTGAACATGTATAAAAACTCAAAAGTACTGGAAATAAACACTCAAAGAATTTTAGAAATCGAATTTGAAATGCAACCACATTTCTTTTCCTAGGCATAATTACAAGAATGGCTCATATACATACATACATACATACATACATACATACATACATACATACATTACATATTACATACTATATAGCAAGGCAAATTTTTAGAGTATGTTTTTTAAGGGGAAAAAGAAATGACCAAAGAATCAAAATCAGAAATATATGAAAATGCATGACCATTTTAAATTTTTATAAATAGTGTATATCAGTCAAACTTCCACAAAGGAGAAGTCAGAAACTAAACACTCATCTATAATATATTTAGTAGTTTTTTCTTTCTCCTTTTTTTATAATATCTTTAAATAACAAAATAGTGGAGACTTTGGCACTCAGTGCAGAGATTCAAAACGTTCTCTGAAGTCCTTTTTCTTATTAAAATTAACATATTCTGGGGGGGTATGATTAATTTTTCATCAATGATAAACTGAGCACTAACTATACAACTTCTGCAACTTCTTTGTCCACTTATTGGTATCAATTTTTTTTCTTTTCTTTTTTTCTCTTGTTCATGCTCTTTTTTAAAAAAAAGATTAATAAAAAAGGATTAACATCTTCACACACACACTAAAAACCACATGACTGCCTGGACCAAAACAACACTCCCCAAAATGCAAGAAAAACTCCACAGGGACTCCACAGGTCACTCTAACACCAGGCCTGGGAACAGAGCCAGGACTTAAAAGACTTCCGGAAACCATGAAAAGTGGAATCAATTAGTTTGCAATCAGAACTTCCTTAATACAGATAAAATTCTTCCCTGGGGTTAGTCAATATCTTTCCATTATTTTTCTTCCATTATTTGCATTATTGCCAATGTATAGAATCAGGACCCATAGTGAGCTGTTGTACACGGGGCCTTGATTAATTATTATTTCTACAATGCCATAGTGCTAGAGCAACCATAGGGTCACACTCTAATCATGTAGTAGCTCTGATGTGATTAGGTTTTCTATTAAATATGAATGTATGCCAGAGTTCTTTATGGCAACCTAGGAGAGTATTTAGGAGAGTATTTAGAGAGCCAATTTGGTGTAGTGGTTAAGGCATCAATGTAGAAACGGGGAGACCGTGAGTTCTAGTCCTGCCTTAGACACAAAGCCAGTTGGGTGACTTTGGGCCAACACTCTCTCTCAGC